CTCTCTCTCTCTCTCTCTCTCTCTCTCTCTCTCTCTCTCTCTCACCACTATCTAAACATAAATCACAAAGTAAAGATTAAAATAACCTTAATCATGTACAAAATGTGATAGTACTATATTTTTAAAGAAGGAATAGATGCTAGAGAACTTGTTCAAAATCAAGTAAGTTTCCAGGTTCTGAGTTTGATACTCAGTACCAAAAAAAATTCCCTAATTAAATATAATTATGAACAGTTTAATCCTATGACTGAGTTCTTCGAACTCCTCATTTTCCCTCTAGTACCAGGGAAGGAGCCTAAGGGTACTCCAACACTGAGCTACATCTCCAACCCATTTCATTTTCTAAAATTGGGGGCAGGGAATAACAGCACTTGAATTCAGGACTTTGCACTTGTCAGGCAGGAACTATGCTGCTGAGCTACATCCCCAGCCTGAGTTTTTAAAAGACTGTGTGTGTGTGCCCTGCCCAAGTTGAGCTGGAACCAGGGGTTGACCTCAGGCCCTTGTGCTTGCCAGGGAAGCACTTATTCCCCTGAGCCGTCTCCTGGCCCTGGGCTGGAACTTTCAACACTGCCTCAGCCTCCCAAGAAACTAGGATTACAGACATGTGCTAGGCACATCTGGAAAAAAACAAGATTTTATCCAACCAATAAATCAATCTACTGAAAGACACCAAACACTATCTCTGTTAGTTCTAAGAGGATTCCATCTTACAGTTTTAAAAATTTCAATAAAATGAAAAGCAGCTTTTTCTTAAAAATAGACTGAACACCTACATGCTTTTAAATTCAAGTAAAGATTAAAATGAAATAATGGGGCCGGGGAGATGGCTCAGTAGGATAAGCGCTTGACTGGCAAACGCAAGGATCTGAGTTCAATCCCCAGTTCTGCCAAAATAAATAAATAAATAAGAAAACACCAAGACTTTCAAAATTTAGACATTTATCTGAGTATCACAAACCTGGGTTCTCAGTATTCTAAGTTGAACTATTCCTTCATTCTCTTCTTCCCTCATCCTTTCTGTAGTGAGTTGCAAGCGTCCAATCAAGTTGATTTTACCCCTTTTCTGAACTTTTGCATTTTTTCTGTAAAAAAAAAAAAAATTAAATATTTTATAGTGAATAAAACAGGTATTTCAAAATACAAAAATGTATTTTTAAAAAATAATATCCAGACTATTTAAATAACCAACACATAGCTTGTTTTAAAACGATTTTGATTTCGTTCAAACAAAGCAGCACCCATTAATAAACTATGCTAGCTGCGCATGGTGGCACATGCCCATAGGACCAGCACTTGGGAGGTTGAGGCAGGACGCCAAGGCAGGTGATCACCACGAGGTCCATACCAGCTTGGGCTTCACAGCAAGGTCAAGGCCAGTGTTACGGCTCATGTTTAGATGTCCCCACAAGTCCTCATGAAGTAATTGGTAGGGCTTTTTCACAGGTGACTGGATTTAGAGTGTGTGACTGATTTATGGTACAATGTTAGGATTAAAGGTGCTAAGGTTAAGTGGGTGATTACCAAATCAGCCCGCTGCCTGCTCTGGCAGCCACCCTAATCGCAGCAGCCTAGACTATAAAAAAGGGGCAGGACAAAGCTCCTACAACCCCTTACTTGCCTGCTCATTGGCCTCTGTAATGTGCTGTGCCAAGTCACCCTGTCTTGAGAGTCCGGACTCACTATGGACTGAGACTTCTACAAAGTATGAGCCCAAATAAACCTTTTCTCCTTTAACTTTGGGTGTGAGGTATTTTGTCTCAGCAACACAAAAAGACAGCCAACCTGAACTACACAGAGACCCTGTCTCAAAAAACCAAAAATCTACACTAAAATCACTTATGTTTCTTATAATAATCATATAATTCCTATTACCATAAAAAATTAAATAGTGAAGGTTAAGAGGTTACAACTGAGCATTATCTACCTGCATCTTCAGGAAAAAATATCCTCTGTCTGCATAAAGATGCTTTAGAATGCAAAAGAATGTTTATTTTTTTGGTGGAACCAGGGATTGAACTCAGGCCCCTGCACTTGCCACTTGTAATCCCAGCGCTTGGGAGGCTGTAAAAAGGGGGATCACTAGGAGTCCAATCTATGCAGTGAGACCCTGTATGCCCTATATACCCTATCCTATAATATAGGGGGGGAAAAAGAACCACCTCTGGTTCATTAAATTTAATTTTTCTTTTTGATGCCTAGAAGCTCTGCCCCACTGTGTTCTCTGGTCCCCACACCAAGCCTTTTTGTTTGGAGACAGGGTCTTGCTATGTAGTTCAGGTTGGCTTTGAGCTCAGTATGTAACCCAGATTGGCTTCAAATGCAAGGTGAATTTGATGCCTCAGCCTTCAGAGTGCTGGCCTCTAATTTTTTTAATAAAAAATGAAATGACATAAATTTAATTATTATATAGCTTTAAATATCATATAAGGAAAAATTATTTTGCTAAAATCTTAACTAACATTTAAGCAAGGCATTTTTATTTTAAATCAACCAACATTAACCTTACATTAAACTGAACTCCTGGTTCACTGAGAAGAGGGTACCTTCTGTGAAGTCTTTGGGTGAGCTGACTTGAGGTTCATACAATAAAACTTGCCGTTTGAGCTTTGGGAAAGCTACTAAAGACTATGAAGAACAAAGAGAAAAAAATTAGGATCTATAAACAGTATGCAATCCTAAGACCAATTCTGCAAAAGGATCATAAACACAAATTTACAATTTAAGCTTTTATTTGGTTCCTCTGTGACTATAACAATGTCAATGCATAATGAAAAAAAGAGAAGGTGAGAAGACTCAGTTACAAGGAAGTAATTAATGTTCTCTGGATATCATGACAAGAAACTAGAATTGTTCACATAAGGCCACCACAGCAAACACCACTTGCCAGTGGTGTGCCAGTTCTTTCCTCAAAAGGAAAATACTTTATTCTGGAGCTACTAAACAATCTATGGAGGAGGAGTAAAATGTAGTTACAAGCAAAAAGCTAATGAGTATATCATACTCTGAAGGTCTAAAGCCTTCCCTTTCTCCTCTCTCCTTCCTTCCTTCTCTCTCCTTCTCTCCCTTCTCCTCCCCTCCCTTCTCTTCCATCCTTTCACCTCTCCTTTTGCTCTCTTCTCCTAATCCCTTCCTTGGACATTACTTTTCTTCCTTGTACACTACTGGGGATTAATCCCAGGGCCTTTGCAGAGCTACATCCTCAGCCCTCTTCATTTTTTGGAGACAGGATAGTAATAATTAAATTGCCCAGGCTAGCCTTGAACTTGGACCCTCCTGCCTCTCCAAGTGCTGGGAGTACAGGCATGCACAACCACACCTAGCTGGGACTGAAGTTTCCTAACTCTTAAATGTTTGGTCATCATAAAATCTTTGAACATATTCTCACTATAAAAATTAAGTGTAGCAGATGCCTTCAGATTCCTCAAACATTTAAATACTGTACCAACCCAGTTATCTCTTTCTATATTGGTACTTATTTTCACTTTCTTTTTTTCCACAAATATCTCATCACTGTTTTTCTCGGCTAAAGGTCATTTTGAGAATATTATTCATTCCAAAGTTTGTAGCAGCTACAGTGTAGCTCAGGGATTTGATCTCTAGCACTCTCCATCAATTATTAGCCAATTACGTACTATACCTCTGTGAAGATACACTTTAAAAACTAAATAAACCAACCCATAAAGTCCTTCTAAGTTCAGCATCAGGGAGTTCAGTCGCAAGTTTTAGATTTTCAAAGCTGATCTTTTCTCTGGGTCTTTGGTTCCATGCAAACAGCACAGCCAGCTGAAATGTGGTTACCTCCAAATCATACTGACCTACTTCATTCTTAAATGTTATCTGTAAGAGGTGAAAAAGAATTTTAATAAGTAATAATTTCTTTATAATAATTATAATCTATCTAAAATACTCTATGAGAGAATATATGAAAAAGACGGCTGTCATCTAATATCTGCTCTTCCCGTTTTTGTTTTTTTCCCATTTATGTTTGGTACAGGGTCTTATTATGCAGCCTGGACTCTGATCCTCCTCTTTTGGCCTCCTCAGCATTGGGATTACAGCCTGCTGCTCAGTGTGTCCCGGGGCAGAGCTGGTGCAGATGCAGGATGGGGCATGGAACCCAGGCCCTGAGCTTGTCAGAGCAGGCACTCAGTCCACTGAGCTGTCTCGCCGGCACTTCATTCTTCCTTTCATACATGGTGTTAGAGCTGTGTCTAGATGTCCCCCAAAGACTTGGGCAGTAATGGGGGGGGGGGGGGCCTTTTTAGAGGCAGCTGGATCTAGCATGTGACACTGGGGTTGATTCCTGGTGCAAGGCAAAAATGAGGGGCAATATGATTAGGGATGTGAGCAGGTAACCCGATAAGATATAAGGGGCAGAAAGAGACCTGTTCTTGCTTGCTTTTGCTCTCTTCTGCCTGTCGTCAACTATTTCTCCTCTTTGATACCATCTGCAATGCCACCTGCCTTAGAGACAGTCAACTAGAAACTGAAAACCTCTACAAACTTCTAGCTAAATAAGTTTCCTCCTTTAACTTTGCGTGCCAGGTATTTTGTTTCAGCAACAACAGCAGTAACTAAGACACATGGTATTACCTCAATGATTCCTCTCCCAGTTTCCCTGTAGCAAACTATGGCCATTTGACCGAGTTCTAGCCAATGTGGTACAAATGGAAATGACAGAGAAAACATCTAGACGTTTCCCTTAAGCATGATGGTGTAACTGTAAGAGTATGTACAGACAATTCCATATAATACATACGTTAGTCTCATTTAAATTTCTTTTTCTTTTTTTTTTTGGCAGAACCTGGGATTGAACTCAGACCCTTTATTCTACTGAACTATCTCCCTGCCCCTATCAAATGTCTTTATGTGAGAGCACAAAACAACAAACTATATGTTTACATAATCCTTATTTGGAGTCTTTCTATCATCTACTTACAATTCCATTTGACATGAGATGATGCCAGTGTAACTTTCTACCACTATGATTTTTTTTGTAAAATTCTTCTACTTCAGGTATCAAATCCTCCAGTTCAGTAGGCAGTGAAACAAAGACTTTCTCAGAGCTTCTTGACCAGGCACCAGCGTTCAGAATTTTTATATTAACAGAATCAGCTAAAGGTAAAAATATAAGAAAATATGAGAATTCTTGACAATGGCTAAAATACAAAGTAACAAGTTAAACTTCAGTTAGGAATAATCAGACTCTATAAAAGATTTTTTTGGGGGACCAGGGATTGAACTCAGGCCCTTGCACTTACCAGGCAAACACTTATTCTACTGAGCTATCTCCCCAGCCTCTAAAGATTTTAATTTTTTATGTATTAAGTAGAGGGTCTACAGGGTCTTACTACACAGATCCGACTTGTAGTGACCCTGTTTTCAGCCTCCCAAGCACTGGCATTATAGTGTGCACACCACCATGCCCAATCTCAATCACCATCTCAGCACACCCGGGGATTGAACCTGGTCCCTGCATCTGCCTAAGCAGGTGCTTTAATCTGTTGAGCTATCTGGCCAGCCCTAAGATTTTATTAAAAATATTCTTTTGTTTCAAAATAAGGATTCACAAATCAAACATTCTGCTTTGACAGCTGTCTCCAAAGAGTATAAAGTTCCTAATGTCACTGGACCTACAACTGCAGACAATTATTTTCAACTGCTACAAAACAAAGGTATTCTTTGTTTTTTAAAATTTTTATTTACTTATTACAGGGTTTTGCTACGCAGTTCAGACTTGTAGTGATTCTCCTGTCTCCTCAATGCTGAGATTACAGGGGTACACCACCACGCCCAGTTTCAGGTTGTTCCAGGATGGCATAGCATGCAGGACCAGGGATCAAACTTGGGTTTTTGTACTTGCCGGCCAGATGCTTAGATTGCTGAGCGATCTCCCTAGCCCCAGGTATTCTATTTTTCTTTTTTAACATTTAAAGATACACACATCTATGAAATTATAAAATAATACCTGGTAAAGCCAACTTATTGTTTTTGTGCATTTCCTTAAAAGCTTGGTTCAGATCTTCAGATACTTTTATGTCCTGAAACATTCTAGCAAGCTTATTTACATAATCTGCTGGCATACCAACTTCCTATAGAAACCAAAGAGAAAAGAGATAATAAGTACATAATTCAATGTATTACTAGGAAAAAACTTTTCAATGCTTTAATTCAAAGGGTTTTTTTTCTCCTTTGTTTACTGAAATATTTATAGTTTAACATTGATTACATTTTTTAGAAACCAAATAGGACAGATCATACAGGTAGTTTTGCTTTGTACAATTCCAGGATACATGGATTTGAATTACTACAGTATTGTTAACATCATTTCTAAAGAACACAGCTCAACCTCAAGGGCTACTCTATAATAAACGTACTTGTGTGGAGTAAAAACCTAACTCATGGACCCACAAACCAAGATAAAGGCACAGAAGCACCGGCTTGGGAGGTACAGTTCAGCTCTGGCACTACAAAAACAAACAAAACCAGAAGCACATCATGATCAAAGACAGCAATTCATTTGAGTGACAGCTTGAGATATGCAAGTCATCTACCATGAGATTATTTGAATCACAGCATTCATCCTTAAAAGTGTATCAGTGATGAGTGTTAGTATATTGAGTTGTGAACCAATACCACTATCTAACAGTAGAACATTTTCAGCACTCCAAAAAGAAATCCTGTTGTATTTTTTGTTGTTGCTGCAGCAGGACTGCCCATTTTCATTCCCTACTCTGCATCCTGCAATCACTAATGCTGCCATGAAAGTGGGGCGTGGGGTGCACACCTATCATCTTAGCACTCCGGAGACTGACTGAGACAGGAAGGTCACCACAAGTTTGAGACCAGCCAAGGCCACACAGTTGGTTCAAGGCCAGCCTGAATGATAAAGTGAGTTCCTGTGGAGAGGGTGGGGGGGAGAAGAAGGAGGAGGAGGGAGGGAGGGAGGGAGGGAGGGAGGGAGGCAGGCAGGCAGGCAGGCAGGCAGGCAGGCAGGCAGGCAGGCAGGCAGGCAGGCAGGCAGGCAGGCAGGCAAGCTCATTCATCATGAAATGTCTATGGCTGGGTTTGGAAGCCATTATTTCTCATCATCAAGAGACTCCCCCCATAACCCATACAGTACTGGGAATGAAATCCAGGGTATTCACACTGAGCTATATCCTGTTTCCTTCATGATATAAACTCTGGTCTGGCCTCATTCTGTAACCGAAGTTTAGCATCCAATTCTCTTTTTTTATTTTGAGTATCAGAGATTGAACTTAGCACCTTCCACTTGCCAGGCAGGAACTTATGCCACCCTGGCCCATTATTCAACTATTGATTCTCCTGCTTGAGCATCTCAAGTAGCTGTGATTACAGGCATACACTGTACTTGGCTTATCCTGGACATGCAAATTGCATTTGATTAATGACTATTCTCCACCCCCCCCCCCAACTGGGGATTGAACTCAGGCCCTTGTGCTTGCCAGGCAAGCGCTTATTCTACTGCTATTAATGACTATTAACATGGAGCCATATAATTACTGCAGATTGGACCAAGGGCCTTCACATTGTGCCTCAGCCTTTGTAAAATTTGGAGACAGAGTCTTGTTAAATTGCTCAACTGCCCAAGCTAGGTTGGAACTTGTGATCCTTCTCCATTGGCCACCCAGAATGCTGAGATTATGCGTATACCACCAAAAGTAGCAATGTACTTCTTGGCCATTTGTGGATCTTTTGTGAGGAAATGTCTATTCAAATCTCTTGCCCATTTTTATCTAAAGCATTTGTCATTTGTGATTATATATATATATTTTTTTTTTTTTTTTTTAGGAAAGGGTCTACAGGATGTTCAGGGTCTCACTACTAGATTAGACTCATAGTGATCTGCCTATTTACAGCCTCCCAAGAGCTGGGATTACAGGCATGCGCCACCATCCCCAGTCTCAACTGCCATCTCAGCGCACCCCGGGGGTGGGACTGGGACAGCAGGCTCGGGGATCAAACTCCTGGCCCCTGCACCTGCTTGTAGGCAATTTAATCCGCTGAGCTATTTGACTGGCCATCATTTGTTATATTTTAAGAGTTCTTTAAATATTCTAGACATAAAACCACAAAGTATGAATTAAAAATATTTTCCTAGTTAGATGTGGAGGTGCACACCCGTAATCTCAGCACTTGGGAGGCTGAGGCAAGAAGATAAACTATAAATTCAAGACCAGTCTGCAATACAAAGTGAGCTCAAGGCCAGCCTGAACTGCACAGCAAAACTTGTCTTAAAAAGACCACAAAAATAAA